TTAGCCCATAACCAATTCTTGTTGCATTGATTACATGAGCCAACCGACCTAACGCCAAATGACCATAACCAATTCTTGTTTATAATTGTCTAAGGAGGTACATAATTTCTTTCTTGATTCAATTTATAGTTTAAAAAAAAAAAAAGATGTGAGATAATGTTTTTTTTTTCTATGTGAAAGAAAACTAGTTAATTTATGGACCTTGATAATAATTAGTATGTCTCTTTTTAGTAAACACATATAATTTAAAATTGCAATAAAGAAAGTTGAGTGTTTAAAGTTTTAATGTTCTTCATTGTTCAAAAACAACATTGCTATTTAATTAGCAAAGGTTAGCTTATGGTCTGTAGTGTTTAACAAGTTACCCAAAATTATTAGTTCTAATTACATCAAATTAATTAAAAGTGTCTTTCATAAAGATAAATAAGTCGGTTATATTTGAGCTTCAAAGCATGCTCTGTTTATTTTTAGAAGGAATTGTTAAAATGTCTTAATTGTAACACATATTTGACGGTATTATCTATCGATATTGATAGACAATAACATATATTATATATTATTAGACTTTAGATGGTAATGATGACATCTCGTATTATATATATATATATATATATATATATATCAATTGATATTATATTAGTAATGCCTATTGAGGAGTAGTAAAGTAATAGTAAATAGACAGAGTTCAATGAGATTGGAAAATGTATATATATAGGAACATAGCTTAAAAATCGCAATGCAAATACTAAATTTATTTTTTCGAAAGTACATGATCCTTTCAAAAATAAAAAATATAGATAATTACGAGTGAAAACCGAATTATCGAATAAAAAACCGATATATTTCAAAACCGAACCGAAAAACCGAATAATAATTCGGTTCGATTTCGGTTATTTTTTAGGCAATTCGATTAATCGAAAACTGATCAAAAAAGTTAGAAACCAAACTGAATTACCGAACGAACACCCCTAACCACAAGACTTAAGATTTTTAAATATGAAATTCAATTTCAACTATCTAATTTAATATGAAACAATCTTTCATTTGCTTGAAATAAAAATAATTAACAACAAATATATTATAAGAAATTCTCACTCAATGTTTTGGTTTTTTTTTTAAAAAAAGAAACATTCCATTAGTTTTCTCCTAATACTACATTAATCCAAGTTTTTCATGTGATATACAAATTTAAAAGATAAAAACACATGCCTTTACATCTATCACATGCACAAACATATACGTAATAACAAAAGAAGTCGACATGGAAATCTACTCAAACATCATATGCCTATGTCGGATTATTAAAACATCTTTGGGTTTTTTTTTCTAATGTAATTGATATTAATAGATTGATAAAAAAGATATTCAAGAATTCTTGTATTGTGTAGGCATATTCAATATTTGGAAAGTCCTTTAATTGTTACACATAAGAGAATATGTACATAAACAAATTTTCTAGAGGAATTTATAGAAAGAAAAAATTTGTGACATTTCAAATACCTGCTAAAACATCTTTAGGTGTATATTAAACTTATTATTTAATAATCAATAAAAATTTCAAGTATGGCAACCTCATATTTCCAATCAAATTCTGCTAAGTATATTAAGAAAATGAAGAATTACTTTTTTTTAAAAAAAATTTAAATGAAGAAGATTTCTTATAATCATTAAACTCAATTTATTTAGTTGGAAACTTAGACAATGAAATCACCAACATTTTGATGGCTAGTTCGTCGTTGGATTGAAGAATTGCAGCTTTATATTTTCATCTCCTTTGATGAATTGTCACGTTTCTTTCTTTAAGTTTTTTTTTAGTAACATTTTGTTTTTATTTTAACTACTCCGGTAAGAACTTTATGCTATTTGTTAACTTTTATTTTTTTTTCTGTAGTATTGATTGTGCTATGCTTTTAGCTTGTCCAAAGCTTTTGTTCTTATAATTTGGCCTTTATGTCTTTTTTTTTTTAAACAATGATGATGATGATGATGTCGTTATGACTCTTTCTTAAGAACCTATTTGAATATGAAATCTCATTTTCTCGTTGGAGAAGAACAAAGAAAAAGTTCTCAAATCTATCTCTCTCGATCTTAACAATTATGAAGAACTTTCTCAATATCAACACATTTAAATGCCTTTAGTTTTTATCAAGTTGAAAAATTTTTAAGAATGATATGACTCTTCAATAGTTGATACTAGGGTTTCGATGTTTAATGAGAGATGGTGGTCGTGATGGAATGAATACCTATAAAATAAGTTCTCTTGGTTGGATCGAGGATCCTCTAATGACTAAATCGAGTGTATGGTAGAGAATGGTGACTTGAAAAGATTGTAATACAAAAAAGAAGATGAATAGTGATAATGAGAAAAGAGATTCGAATCCTTTAACCTTGGATCTATGGACTTGTTATCTAACAAAGAGACTCGTCAAATTACATGAAAGAAAATAGACACTCGAGCACAAGATGGGCTTTTAACTAGTGATTGATCAATCAATTCTTTCTAAATCTAGGAGCTTATCCCGAAATGCACTTTCCATAAAAGGTAAAAACAAAGCCTTAAATATGCATGAAATGTATGCTTGCATATTCGTCTATAAGTCAAATTAGGGCGTGAATGATCCATTTTCTTGTTACCAAAAACCTTTGATACTAAATTAAAAGATAAATGTTCTTGGTGTTGACATCTAACTATTGAAAGAATATGATGATAATATTGTTGATACTATTTAGACAAAAATAACCTAAGGAACATATTCTCATTAAATTTATGTATTATTTGTTCTTTTTTATTGGTGGGGGTTGGTTTGGTCGTCCAACCTCCTCTTACGGGCGTGCCTTAGTAGAAAATTCTACCTTAGTGGGGTTTGTATGTCCATCCGCGTACATCTCGAATGTAATTTTGTTCTCTTAATCTTCTATTTAGGTAAAAACAAAGCCTTAAATAAGCATGAAATGTGTGCTTGCATATTCATCTATAAGTCAAATTATGATAGAATGATCCATTTTCTTGCTACCAAAAATCTTTGATACTAAATTAAAGGATAAGTGTTCTTGATGTTGACATACAACTATTGAAAGAATATGATGACCTTATTGTCAATAATATTTAGACAAAATAACTCGAGGGACATATCCTCATTAAATTTATGTATTATTTGTTCTTTTTTATTGATAGCGGTTGGTTTGGCTATCCAGACCTCCTTTTAGGGGTGTGCCTTAGTAGAAAATTTTGCCTTGATAGGGTTTGTATGTCCATCCACCTACATCTCGGATGTAATTCTATTATCTCAATCTTCTATTTAGGTAAAAACAAAGCCTTAAATAAACATGAAACGTATGCTTGCATATTCGTCTATAAGTCAAATTAAGGTAGAATGAGTCATTTTCTTGTTACAAAAAAACCTTTTATACTAAATTAAAGGATAAGTGTTTTTGATGTTGACATATAACTATTGAAAGAATATAATGACATTGTTGTTGATACTAGTTAGAAAAAAATAACTCGAGGGACATATTCTCATTAAATTTATGTATTATTTGTTCTTTTTTATTGGTGAAGGTTGGTTTGGCTGTCCGACCTCCTCTTAGGGGTGTGCCTTGGTAAAACAATTTTCCTTCGTGAGGTTTGTATGTCCATCCACTTACATCTCGAATGTAATTATGTTCTCTCAATCTTCTCGTTTAGGTGGTTATCTTGATTAAAAGAGATTGCATGATGACATCTAAGTATATCAAGTTTTTAATCTTTTAAATTATGAAGTGCTCTATAAAAAATCAATATCTTGAAACTCGTTAAACTTAAGTTTCAAAATCATGAAGATCTTCTTTAGTAAAATAAATTCAAGAAGCATGAAATCTTTTACAGAAGCATGAAAATTCTTTCAAATCTCAACTTAAAAACGATCAATTGATAGTTTTTTTTTAATTTATTTTTTTAGTGAATTATACAGAATTGTACCTATATTTTGATTAATATAAATTGACAATTCATAACATATTGTATATCTTTCTTTTAAGCTTGATGTTGTATTTACATCATGGTTCTAAATAATGTTTTGATTGCATTTGCAGATCCAGTTATTATCATGAATATATATTTTATGCGAGATAAGTTTGACAGCGCTAGTGGATTTAGACACTATGCTTTCTTACTCGTATGCAATGGAAATTACATTAATATGAATATTTAATCTCTCATGAAAATATTATTATAGCGATCCAATTTCGATATGTTTGAATGGTGATTAGATCTAAATCATGGTTTTAAAACTTCAAAAAACGTTGCGGTTGCAGCCCAGATAGAAAAGCCCATCTAATTTTACATAGGCCCAAAAGTTGTTGAGGTCGGCTCATTCGTTGAACAGAACACCAGGCGGAAATATCTCTGTAAGCTATCGGGCTTTTAACATCTTGGATAACACTGAAAAAAAAAACCGATTAAGCAGTATCTAACTCCTTGTATTTGAAAGCTATTATAATCCAATCCTTCATATTTAAGAATCTACAATCCAATCCTTCATATTTAAGAATCTATAACATAATCCACTCACTCTTGTTTTTTATTTTTGGATAACAAATGAATTACAAACTAATTGGTTTAACAATTATATTTGTTAAAAATATGACGAACTCGACTCTTCACTCTTGTTAACTGTTATTTTTTAAGACATGTGTGTTGGATTTCTCTTTTCTATAATTTTATTTTAAAAACTTTGAAAACCCTATAAAAACCCCTCGTGCCTTTAATAAAACAACAATCGACAGAAGTTATGGGACTAGAAAAGTGGATTGTAAATGCAAAAGACCAAACTATAAGCTCGTTCAGAATCCAAGGATTAAGTATTAATTTACTCCAAATATCTGGGGTTAAGAGAACAAGTCAGGAACGCGGCAGAACAGACGACGGAAAGATTGATCAGTTGATCGTTGGTTTTTCGTATTTTTGTCTGCAAAACTCAAACACAAGCTTCGATCATCAAAAAGAAAAGAAAAGAAACACGATGGAGAAAGTGATGAACGTAATTAAGCCAAAACCAAATCCACAGCAACAACTCAGAGATTGGCAGCGTAGGTTACGCCAAGAGTGCCGTAACATCGATCGTCAAATCAGAGGCAATTTCTTTTCCTTTTATTTTTTCTTTCTATTTTTTTATTTTAATTTTTCTGGCTTTATTTTTGTCAGATGGATCAGGTTTTTTTTTTTAAAAAAAAATTAATGTGTATTCTTTAATTTGGCGTAGCGTTAACGGTTTTTTTTCCTTGCTGAATTTGTTTTAGATATACAGAGAGAAGAGAAAAGTGTACAAAAAGCAATTAGAGATGCTGCTAAAAGAAATGATATGGTCTCTGCCAAGGTATTACTTCTATTATCAAATAAATTCCTAGTTTCTCTGTTGATCAATTACTGAGCAATCTTTGGAATTCTTAAATTTGATTGATTAATGAAGTATATAATTTGATTTTATCTTTACACTTTAATTGCTATACTTCTGCTGTTAATGTAATTAACGATGCTACTATCGATTTGTGATTAAATCCTCTTCTTTGATTTATTCCAGGCACTTGCTAAGGAAGTTGTAAGATCTAGAATTACGGTGAACCGTCTTTATGAAAATAAGGCACAGATGAATTCAATATCAATGCATCTCGGAGAAAGTGTGGGTATGATTATTCATTTACACTCGGCTGATTGTTTACCTTTTTTCTTTATAGATTGCAGATGTGGATTACCTTTACTTTGTGTTGGATATGTGCTGTTGTAGGTTTGTGAATTCAGGTAGCATAATTACTTGTACTTAATTTTACAAGTTGTCTTAATAGTAGAATCAACTATGAGACAGATTCATACACAATTGATGAGAGGGATTTAAATGCATGGGTTGCGCAACCAGGATGGTTAGTTGAGGAGGTGCCTTCAGATAGTGCATGTTAACTTATATTGCTTAAAAGAGAAGGATTTTGTACTGCTAGGTTTAGTATTCTTTACAAATTATAGCTTGAAGGAAAATTTTTGCACCTTTTCTCTCAAAATATTATAAAAAAAAAAAAAGAAGATATTTTTTTGAACAATACGACTTTTGTTTGTACGTAAGGTGGACGAAGCATGACTGTGGAGAAATGAATACCAGAAGAAAAATTGAATGTATTCACTAATAAATACATGCAACGATGGTCATTCAGCATGCAATCCTGTTATCTTTCTTTGGGGAGAAAGTAAGTCATTTCCAGAAATGCTATCCATGTGAAAAAGTAGCCCATTTTCGGTGAGTTATAGATTGAAGGATCTGCAAGGTCCTAAATATACGTTGAGAAATGTTGTATTAATTTATTGCGAAATGAGGAAGAATGGCTGTAGAGCTGATTGGGAAGACAAATTCTGACAGCTGGGTTCTGGACTTGTTAAGTGGAGTTGCACTTGGAGGCCTTCTATTCAGTGAAACCTATATGAACCATGATAAAGCAGCTTGTTGGTTCTTGAAAGTTGAAATTCCCCCTGTTTACATGCGCATTTACAATCCATCTCTTGTACTAATAAACAAAAAGAAAAAAAGGGAATGATTGCATATAATCGAAGTCTTTGTTAATAATGAAATTAATTGAAGATGATAATAAGACTATGGTTTGAAATCCTATCATGATCTATATTCACAACACAAACATGCACATAGAATATCGTCAAAGCTTCAAATACAATCTGGACTCACTTCTATTTTTGTAGTCTAAGGTTTTGCACCATCTTCGTATAAACATCTTTATATTCGCAAACTTTCTTATATGAAATTTCAGGATTTTGATTTTTTTGTTCAAGTGCAATCGATCAATCTATGTGGCTTTTTTTTTCCTCCTTTTGCCATCAGTCACTTTCAGATCTGTCCCTTTGATTTTTCTCACGTGGTATGATATGAGACTTTGGTTAGGTTACTTAGTCTAAATCTTGTGTAGGAAGAAACTAGAAAATATATAAGAAAGAAATCTGGGAGTGAATTCTCATTTAATTCTCAACTACTTGTAAGAGATTCATATGGATATTATTTTAGAACGGATTTCAAATATGGAAGTGGAGAAAGATTGTTGGTAAGATGAACTTCTGATTGTGAGTCCAGAGGTGCCTGCTGTTCATCAAGTTTGTCATTGGAGCAAGTATATGATACTTAGAAAAAAGAGTGTGCATAAAGCATGATTGCCATGTTTTAAGTAAGAAAAATGTGTGTGCGTGTTGTCCACATTGTGGTTTATTTCTCTTTCATTTCCTTTGTTTCAGTTGGATTGAGCTTTGTTAGTTTGTTTGAATTTCCTGAATCGTTTATTTCTTGGTTGATTTTTGCAGCAATTGCCCGTACAGTGGGCCATTTATCCAAGAGTGCTGAAGTCATGAAGCTTGTCAATAATCTCATGAAGGCTCCAGAAGTGGCTGTTACGATGCAAGAGTTCGGCAAAGAAATGACCAAGGTTCGTGTTATTTTGATTTTTTAGCTATATGAACTAATAATAATAATCTAAGAAATGAGGGTCTCGGAAGAAAGTGGAAATTTATCATGCATTGCATTTATTGCAGATCTTCAAGGAGTGCATTGACGTTTCTCCCCTTAAAGTTCTAGACATTGTAGTTCTAATATGGCGGGAAAATTCGGATAATCTTCTTTTAATATGTTGTGGCCTCTTTATGCACTTTAACTTATTATATATGGATGGATGTTGTCTACTGTAGAAAACCTCTATATATTGATGTTATCATTGGTTGTCTCCTCCATATGAATCACCTAAAAACTTACAGACATTTGTATCTTGTGCTATATTTTTAAAGTAATAGCTCTTGCTCATGTTTGCAATTTGCAGGCAGGGGTGATTGAAGAGTTTGTGAACGATGCCCTTGATAGTGCTTTGGACTCAGAGGACATGGAAGAGGAGACTGAAGAAGAAGTTGACAAGGTATTGACTGCTATAGCTGGTGAGACTGCTGCAGAGCTACCAGAAGCAGTCAAGAAGGAGAGAGAGAAGCAATCTGCTCAGATGGAAGGAACTGCAGAAGAGGTTTGTATGACATATTAACATTCACTTCATTTTCTTTTCTTTGATGCCTCGAAGCACAAGAATATAACATACCCTTTTGGATTGTTTTAGGAAGAAGCTATAGCTGAGGGGGTTGTTGATGAGGGAGAACTTGAGGAAATAAGGGCACGACTTGCCAAAGTTAGGTCTTGAATCCGAGGGTTACAACCCCTTCCTCTTCCCCAGTATTCTTAGAGAAGAATGGCGAACTCATTAACTTGAATGCTGCCCTTTGGTCAGAATGAAATTGCAGTAGGTGCAACACAGTTTAACTCTGAAAATGGTACATGGTATAAAACGTGTGCGTTTATGTATTATCTCAAGAGCAGCCATTTTCTATCTACTTAAGCTATTACTGTATTTGTACCATATTGAACTGAAGGCACTGTTTGTAGTGCCATTCATAAGCCTTACTTGTACAGAAGATAACAGAGTCATGCCGTGGCATGGAAATACATCATATTATGAACTAGCCAGCAGGATCTGATGCAGGACAGCTTAGGGGCTGTTCTGAATCTAAAGTTTCAGAGGCCATTTAGGGTTGTGTTGATGTAGTTTTCTTGTGAATTATGAGAAAGTATGTGGATAGATTTTTAGGAGTCACACATGAAGGTTTTTAAGAGACAACTGAAAGGGGATCGAGTGCCACAATTAAAATAAATTGTTGGAAATTATTTGATATTATTGCATCGAAAAATATTGAAAGACTACGTGTTTTTTTATAGAACAGAGTTGTAGAAGTCTAAATATGGATTCGTAAACCTCCGAACATAATTTGAAATACTTAAAACAGAAATAAAGTATTGCAATTTCCAGATTATCCGGTAGATCTGAAAATTACCAGCTACTCTAAGTTCTCGATTAAGTCTTCCATCATCAGCCATGTGCCAAATCAGTGCTTGAGCATTGGAGTTATCCTTAGAACATCTTCTAAAAGCCAACTGTTGTTAATGGACGTCTCTATGTGCAAGCTAGCTAGCATTACCAGATGTTTATCTGTGCAGCAGCCTGATACAATATGCATTGAAATCTTACTAACTTGCGTGAAAGAAAAGCCAATCTGCAATCCATGTGAACTTTAAAACGAATTATTGCCCAACAGTTTTGCAAACGCAAGTACAGCGCTTTCTGTCATGTTTCTCATGTTTGTGTTGTGAATTGTTAGAAAAAAAGAATCGAAGGTACTCCCAGAAATTACTTCAGAAAGCAAATAACCGCACAGCTACCTTTTACTCTTTTAAGTCTTCTTTGTCTGCTGAGCACACTGTTATGTTGTTACGTTCATGGTTCTGAAATTTATTATTCATCAGCAGACTGCTTTTCTCAGTGAAAGCCATAGATTCTCTTACTGCCTTGCAGATTCACATCACCTCTTCCCTCTCTTTGCTTGCTTATAACCGGAAAGGACAACCAAGAAGGTGGTCTCACCCAGTAGACATTTGTGTTGTTTAACCCACCATGGAGTTTACCATGTGTGAACAGTCTCTCATGTAACGATCTTATGTTGATTTTTTTTTTTAATTGGGTATCAATTAATCAAAATTGTAAGTTTTAACTATTAAACGTTGGATTGAAATGATTAATTATTTATAAGTTCCATATAATTTGAGGTTTCCAGTAAGGTAAATATTTGTAACGGAAATTTAGGCTTCAATCAAATTGTAAATTGCAGAACTCTTTAATTAGCCAATAGAATTATGCATGTCTCGGTACGTATCTCTACAGCATGAACTGATAGAATGAATGAAAAAGATGGAGCTTATCATAACTTAACAAGGGTATATATATCTTCCTTTATTTTTCCTTTAATCGCTTGGCTCCATGTCCCACGATCTCTTCGCATATTTTGCTTGTCTTTACAGTTAAGAACTTACATGGGTATAATATATTGAATAAAAAGAGGGTCAAAACTCTATCCGAAGATGTCATTTCTTGACTCTTTCAAGTTACAGTCTCCTTAAAAAAAACATGGACGTTGAGTGAAGTCTATGCTTTTCAATAACAATGCATCTTATCTTATGCAGAGAGCCTGTGGTGCCACCAACTTAAATTCATTAGCTTTCTAAGTTAAAGATGATATCTTGCACGCAAGATAATCATCCCTTCACTTTTCTGTAACAAACTCCACTCTTTCTTTCTAGTAAAGCAAAACAACCGCAAAACCAAACCTTGCTTCAGATACGGCGAGCTTCTTCGAATAGGGAGAATTTTTTTTGTTCTTTTTCAGTTCATGATGAAGAAAAACGCACATTTTAATTTGCTGTTATTGGAATTAAATAGGTCAGATTTTGACGTTGTCAGGCTAATTTTATAAGAGCACCATTCTTAAATCTTAGTTGGACTTGACAGCCATGATCTATATAGGCCACTAGTTTTGGCCTGCCTTTCAAGATAAGACATGCGGTTGCAAATTTTACCACAAATTAATGTACTTCCCGTTATTGGAATTAAGCAGTTCTTGCACTTGCTCATTAAAATTAAAATATATCTAAATTAGATTGAAGTTACTATTTAATCCAAATTTCCAAATTAGTAAAAATCTTAAATAAGAATAAAGTATTGAGCAGCCTAAGCCACATAAAAAAAATATATATATATACATGTTTTATATGTCTAGTTTAGATTTAGAGACAAATTTATTAAATCCATGAGATTTTTAGTCGTAAAACATCTGTGAAATGGACTAAAACTGTGAAGACAACGAGAAATTATAAAATTATGAGATTTTTTTTTTCATTTTTAAACATGACAAATGAAATGCTAATTGGGCCATGAAGAAAATATTCTTTGCTGTTTGTATAACCTTTTAATTTAATATGTTAATTTTCAAAATTAAATAATAGAACAAACTTGCTTTAAAATAAATTACGGCATTAATGTTGGTGCAAGTCTGTCAAAATCTGGTATTTATATATATGGTAGTAAGTTATAATATTATACATGCACCAAGTATATGAGAATCAAAAGTTTTTTTTTTTTTAATTAATTATGGTATTATGATAAATAATTATAAATGCAATGGTACACGTGAATCAAAAAATTTCAATGAATTTCCATTACTATAATTAATTGGTAAAACAAAAGAAATTTGTCTTATTGGTTTAGAGCCATCATTATTATACATACATGCATCGGGTCGAATTAGATCGAATATGATATAATTAAATGGACTTAGTAAATAATTTTTTTTATCGAAGTTCGATTATTATCTAAATCCGTTAATACGTTTATTAAATGAATCAAATCCGAATCTACTTTAATCCGATATAATAATAAGCCGATTCAAAATTAAAAATAATATTTTTATAATAATATAATATTTTTTAAAATAGCAAAAATTTAAATATGAAAAATATATAAATATGAAACTAGGTTGAAATTTAAAGTTTACTTATTACAAAATTCAAATAACGCATATTTTTAAAGAGTGATGACTATATTTTCAAAAAATCACAAATAATTTCTTATTGTTTTCGTGAAAAAAATTATAAATTTACTTATATACATTTTCAAGACTTAATATTATTATATTTATCATCACTTTATTTTTGTTGGCACGTGAAAAAAAAATTATTTATTATTATTTTTTTAGTTTTATCATATTTTTTATCCGGTTCAAAATAAACTTTTATTAATATTATTTGATTTTATATTTTTAAATTGTGTGGCATTTTGAAATTTTGAAAAAATCAATAAATAAAATATTATTTTAATATATTTTATTATACATATAGTGATTGAAATATATTTTATATTCGAGCAATATATGAAAAATAATAATTATAAATTTTTTATAAAAATTAAGTGATTAATATATAAAGCTACAAATTCGATCCAAGCCTATTAGGATATCTATATATATATATATATATAAAATTTTGATTCTTCAAGAAAACGAAAGGGAAAAGCGAAAGAAGAAAAGAATAAGAAAAGAGTCGGCGTGCCAACAATAACAAGATTCTATTATAGAAGTTAAAAAAAAAAAAAAAATGATGACATTAACTCTCTGATATTTCACACGCAGAGATAGATATTATAAATCCCCTAAGCCAAGACCCACATTCATTCATATTATACTGTGCTAAAAAACCATGGCATCAATATATTACACGTTTTTTTCTTTGTTCCTTTTTCTCTTCACTAATTCGCAATTCTCATATGCAGGACATCCTAAGACCCAAACTGACTTGTCTGCAAACTTGCCAAGACAACAAGCAGAAAGGCTCATAAGAGCTTTCAACTTGTTCCCTAAGCATGCCATCAACACACCTGCCTTTGATGATCATGAATCTTTAGACAGTTCTGCTCCAAAGATTGTTGAGAAACAATTCCAATTCCATCTTCTTGGTAATCCAGGGCCTTCTGTTGAAGAGTTTGGCCATTACGCTGGCTACTATCGCCTTCCCCATACTAAAGCTGCAAGGTAATTCAGAAATGCCGTGTTATGTCTGATGCAGTAAATTAATGAAGAGTTGTTTGAATATCCACATAGATTTTTCAGCCAACTTATGTAATTAATGTTGCTTGTTATTTACAGGATGTTCTACTTCCTCTTCGAATCACGGAGTAACAAATATAACGATCCTGTTGTTATATGGTTGACTGGAGGGCCAGGATGTAGTAGTGAACTGGCCTTGTTTTACGAAAATGGTCCTTTCCATATTGCAAACAATCTGTCTCTTTCATGGAATGACTATGGTTGGGACAAGGTATATATATTTGCAGTGCTTTTAACGTTCTGATAATCTTCTCCTATAATTTTCAAATTCCCTCAGCTATATCATAACTGCAGAGGCAGCCTTTAGCATAAACAAGTTTTTGTACCCTTCGATTAATAGGAATGTTATTGTTCTTTCGCAGGCATCAAATCTTATATTCGTTGACCAGCCTACAGGAACTGGCTTTAGTTATACAACAGAGGATAGTGACATTCGCCATGACGAAAAGGGTGTCAGCAATGACTTATATGACTTCTTGCAGGTAAGTTTTGTTTCTTTTACGTTATGAGTTTGTTCATGATTTTGGCAGCGTAAGAATTCTTTCTTAGTTGATAAATATTCACGTGAGTTCTCTCTCTGTGATTCTATAGGCATTTTTCAAAGAGCATCCTCAGTTGGTGAAAAATGATTTTTACATAACTGGAGAATCTTATGCTGGGCACTACATCCCTGCATTCGCTTCTCGGGTTCACCAAGGAAACAAAAACAAAGAAGGAATTCATATAAATCTCAAGGTATGCCCTCTGGCTCTCAAATCTTGCTTGCTTTAAAGCTGTTTCATCATTGCTTTATCGGATTTTTAGTTTTTCTAACTATTGAAAGTTTTGTTCAATAGGGTTTTGCCATTGGCAACGGCCTGACTCGTCCTGAAATCCAGTACAAAGCATACACTGATTATGCTTTGGACAACAATTTAATCCAAAAATCTGATTATGATTCCATAAACGAGATGATCCCAGACTGTGAACGGGCAGCCGAAGCTTGTGGTACTTGTTCTTGCTTTGGTTTCATTCACCTAATACAAAGCATACACTGATGACCAGTAGTTGGTTTTGCTCTCTCCTTGGTTGATTATGTAATAAACTGAAAACTCTCTTTCCAGGAACTGATGGTATATCTACTTGTGAAAATGCATTTGAAGCTTGCAACAACATATTCCAGAGTATCATGGGAGTTGCTGGCAATATAAATGTAAGGAAACACAACTTCAACTATACATCTTCTTTCTCTAAACAAATAGCTGAGCAACAGTAATGATGGTTCAAAGAAACACAAATCCATTTTTTTCATTCAAATGAGAAATTGTGATCTATGTTCTCTGCAGTACTATGATATTAGAAAGACATGTGAGGGCAGTCTATGCTACGACTTCTCGAACATGGAGACATTCCTGAACCAGAAATCAGTTAGGGATGCTCTAGGGGTAGGAGGTATTGAATTTGTTTCCTGCAGCAGCGTGGTTTATGATGCGATGATAAGGGACTGGATGAGAGATCTTGCAGTAGGAATTCCTGCTCTCCTCGAGGATGGTATCAAGGTGCTTATTTATGCTGGAGAGAAGGATCTCATATGCAACTGGCTTGGTGAGTCTATATGGTATGACAACCTAATTAACCCTAGTACTTTATCACTAATTACATTCTTGACGTACCTGTATTTTTCCAGGAAATTCAAGATGGGTTAATGGGATGGCATGGTCTGGCAAGAAAGACTTCGGAGCAGCTCCCACAGTTCCATTCGTTGTTGAAGGTGCAGAAGCAGGACAACTGAAAAGTCATGGCCCCCTCAGTTTCCTAAAGGTCCCTCTCTCTCCTCATTGTTGTTCTCTATTGTTTTTGTGTGATCTGTGATGACATATTGATTCTTACTCGAGCAAATTTGATTGCCTATAACCACCAGGTTCTCAACGCCGGCCACATGGTTCCAATGGATCAACCAAAAGCTGCATTACAAATGCTGAAGAGCTGGATGCAAGGAAAGCTTGCCGTCACTGGTACTAATGATAGGATCGCACGCCAGTAATTTGCATCCACCGTCTTAGCTTGCTCAAGCATTGTCTCACACATAAGGTTTTCAGAAATGGTGTTTTGTGCACTTCTGCAACGATAGATTCTGCTAATCTCATTATTCATGTTCTCAAGTCTCAACTCCTCCACGGATACAAAATAAAAAACACATACAATTTTCACTCATATGTCTGAATGTAAGCTTAGTTGGTTTGATGCTGGTAATCATTTCTAGACCATAAAGCAATTCAAAATTGATCTAAACGAATCCAAACTGAACAACTTGACAGCATCAATATTATCAACAAGCCCTGAGATTCGATTTCGGAAAATGTAAGCATTAGTGTACGTAAGAGAAATGTAGTATGTTGCATAAACAATGAGCAGGCCGTACTCCCAAAGAATAACAATTTCAAATAGGTTAGCTGATCTATACCCAGTTTATTACTCAAAACAATTGACACCCTAAGACTAGTATCTGTTGATACATAGACAACTAATTCACCGCTGACTACAGAGCAATAATCAATGGTTTACTTCAGTAGAAGTGATCAGCAACAAGGGCTGGTTTCAATTGTGTGTCCAGATGTAAATTAGTGCTTTTGATTTCTCAAGTGTCATATAAACAGAATTCAGCAGCAAAACAAATGATCATTTTAAACCATACACATTCCACCCACAAGACCTCCATGCCTCAAACTACTCTTTAAGGGAAAAATAGATAGCATGTTTCCAGAAAAACAGATAGCGTTGTCAATCCAAGATTAATGGACAAAAGAATCAAGAAGTTGCTGCTTTTACCCCATAAAATTCCTTCAATGATTCAATTGCTGGCTTGAAACCAGATCTCAAAGGTACAACAGAGACAGCTCGCAGGTTTTGTGCATTACCATTCTTTGGTTTGGACAACGTCATTCTAAACATCTCCCCTTCCAAAATTTTAGCAGCATTGGCAGCTGCATAAGGCCAGACATCCATCCCATCATTGTATTAAAAAAAATAAGTCTTAAGAAATTTTTTTATTATTATTTTACCAGCAAAAGGGTGAAGCTTGGAAAAGTGAAAGAAGTCATCAGCAGAGCAGCCAAACAAGACTCTAGCAGCCCTATCAAAGCACATAACATTAAGCACCTTGGTATCCGTGGCTATGGAAACCTGCCCAGAAACAAAGGCCAAAAAGAAAAGAAAGAAAGACCCTTTATTCCACTATGAATTTTTTCTGCAAAATAAATAGTGGGGTAGTAAAAACTTACAAGGATGCGAAAGAGGCGCTTGTAGGAAGAGGAGGAAGAAGAGGAGGCGCTGTTCTTGTGGCAGAATTTGCAGAAGGTATTATTATTGTTGGGAGTATCAGGAAGAGTTCTGTCGCAGAGTGAGCAGGCTCTGTAAAAGAGATTGTTGGAACAGTCCATGCCAATCACTGTACACATTACTGTTGTTTCTTTCTCATATTCCTCCATTGCTTTGCTTGCTCAAAGATCGCAATTTTCTTCCTTCCTTCCTGTCTTCCTTTCTTTTCCCTTCGCAAGTGTTAGGTTGTCGTTCACCTAAAAACAGAAAAAATTAGAGTCAATTTTATTTAACCCCCTAAAGTATATGGATTTTATCAAATTTCTTCCAAAGTTTGTTTTATATGAATTATCCCCGTGATCTTCCTTAAATTTATAAATAAAATCCTCCGGTCAGTTTTTGTACGAAAAACTTAATGGAAATTTCCCTTTTATTGTGCAAACTTTAATTTCCTCTCAATTTCACGTGATTGATAAATATAAAATTTTGATTTTAAAGACAAATTCACTTGAAAAAAAACATGAAAAGTGTATTCAATATGAAATTCAATAAATAAGATTAAAAAAAAAGATACAAAACAAATCCACTTAAGAATTTTTTTTTAAAAAAAATAAATCATAATATTAAATGAATTTTTATTTCTTTTGATTCGTTATATCTTAGTGGGCTCAATATGGATTGAGTCGGAATTCAATTCTCGTTTTAACTATGGAGCTGCTTTGGACTTTTGGAGTGCAGAACGAAATAGTTTTACCAAATATTTGCCTCGATTTACAATATGGTTCATAAGGTTTTATAATTTATAAAATAGTCTTAGTAGGACTACGAAAAAATTTAATATAAATTTAAAAAACAAACTGCATCTCCATCCGATAAATCATAAAATTATAAAATAAAGTCTAAACTTCGTATCTTTGCATAAAACCATAAGTATCATTCATGAATCATTAGATCAGAATCCATGCATTTGCGTTGAAAAAAAAATTATAATAAACAAATTTAAAAAAAAGATTAAAAAACCGAGTCAGATTTTACCTAATTTCTACCTGCTAGAATCAAATAAAAATAAAAATCGAATGCAAACAAATCAGACAATAACATATGGAAATTATCATCCTTAATTTCTACCTTCTAAACTCTTCATTCTCTCATACTTTTTGGCCATATCCTTTTCGTTTTTGTTTGTTGTAGGAAGTGTTATGGGCTGTTTACGTTAAGTTGTTTTTGCTAGTTTTAAAGTACGGTGGTGCTTGTAGCCATGGACCTTTTTTGTTTTTTTTGGCTAAACCTTGTAGACCTTCATTTTTTTTTTAATTATTGTAATACGGACTTAAATAAAAGAAATTGATCACATAATTTTTTTTAAAAAAAATTATTATATTTTTAAAAAAATTATCATCTAGGTATTTTGGTGTTTCATTCTACAAATAGTTGCTAATACCTAGCTATATTATTTTATAAAGATTCATAAAGAAATTTATTTTCAAAGAATATAAAATTTTAGTGTCCATATATATTAAAAAATTTAAATTTATTTACATAAAAAAAGAATACGACTTAAATTTATAGTATAATATATACGAGTTTAGATGGAAAATATTAATGGTTAGAAACTAGGAATACGATCGAGAAATGCTTGGAAATTTGATGATCCAATTAAAAATAGGGTAATTTTTAGTTTTCTCTCCTAAGGTTTGATTGGTTTTCAAAAGATTTTATTTGTATCAATTACCTTTCTCAATTTTTATCAAAATTTCAATTTTTTTCTTTCACCTAGTAAATTAACTTAACGAAGGATGAGATTTTTTTATTATTATTTCAATTAACTTTTTAAAATTCTAAAAAAATCTTAATTAGTTATGCAATCCTCAATCATATATATATATATATGATTGAGGATTGCATAACTAATTAAGATTTTTTGTAGATCCTAATTTATAAACTTTAACATGTAAAAAAATATTGATAAAAATATAAAACTCAAACTATAAATCTTGTCTATTTTAATAAAATCATAACGATCTAATACCAAATTAATATAGCTTTTTGATTATATATATAAAAAGAACATATCTCATTGTCATCTTTACATATTCTTGTTTTGAAAAAAAAAAAAAACATGTGTGAACTGTTTAGAAGGTAAAGTTTAATAACATAAAATTAACAATACCAATACCTAATTATAATTAAAATTTACATATTAGTCCTTCAAAATATATTAAAATTCATAAATGCAAAAACTAATTACTAATGATGTGACATTTTATAACTAAAATAATATTATTTTAAAAAAATTGATTAGACAAATTTTATGAATTTTAATATAATCAAAGGATAAATATTTGATTGAGACTTATCTATTTTAAGAAGTGGGTTGAAACATAAAAAATATCATATTATTAGTTATATTAGTTTAATAGATAAAAATGAATAATTTAAATTTAGTTAAAAATTCAACGGATTAATTGATAGAAACGATATCTCACGAAAAACAATAGAGAAACCTCACTGGGGAAAATTAAAATTTACTTTTAAAAATATTAATAGTTTGAGGACTAGGTGAGCATTGGTAGATAGGCGGAGGACAAATCTAATGTTTGCCCTAAAATTCAACTGAAACAAAATTGCACTCCAGAAGTCGTGTTGTGATTATCCTTTGCAAAATCCACTGTGTCTGCCCACTCTCCTCCTCAGTCCTCAGCACCATTTTTAAAAAGTAATAATCATCCTTTTCCTATTAGACTCTCTTGGAAAAAGAAAAAAATCAATGGACCCAGACAGGTATATTAGTTTCTGTTCGATGGCCAATTTCTTAGAATCCATGATTGTTAAATTGGTGTTTTGGGCTTTCGACGAATGCTTTAGTGCCTCTTCAGTTTTGCGCCTGATTTGCATAAGGAGTAGGCTGCCCTTTTGTCTTCATTATGGGGACATGATTGCTGTTATAGTAGTTTTTTTATATGTAATTCTTTTATCAATATATCTTTCAAGATTTTATTTTGATAATGATATTCTTTTTTTGCCAGGTTAAATTCTCCAAACACTTCTGCAATTACTCTTGAAGTTTTGGGCCATCAACTTCAGTTCTCTCAAGTGTGTTTTTGTTCTTTTATTTCTTGTTTCTTGTAGTTTGTATTGGAAGATATAAGTTTGGACCCAATTTAGTTTGAGTTGGACACTTTTTTGAACAATTTATAACCACTCACGACTTGAAAAGATGATCTGGGTTATGTATAGTTCATTCTTGGAGAGGATAATCTGTCTGGATTGTACTTGTGGTGTTGAGGTAGGACATCGATTCTGAATCAAAGTGAAAGAGTCTATTATATTCCTTGTTAAAATGGACATTTCCCTGATAGTTGCAAAAACATTTAGTCTTTTCAGAAAATGATACGCAGCAGCAAAGTTTACTAGCCTTTATAGTTGGAAGTTTAATGAATTGCATATCTGTCAATCCACTACAGGTTTTGTTGTGTCATTTTTCAGTTTCATAGCATCGTCTCCTTGAGCAATTTTTTCACATGTTATGTTGCATTTTAGTTTCTCGTGATGTTTATCTAACGGATGAATTTCTGGTCCTGGTATAGGATCCCAATTCCAAGCATTTAGGAACCACTGTTTGGGATGCGTCAATGGTGTTGGTTAAATTTCTGGTAAGTTGCCTTTTATTTCTTCATGCACTTGAAACTGTAGAGCACGCCTTCCCTGGCGTTGTTGTTGATTCTTGGCTGTTGTACCCAGGACTTAGGGTCTGTTTTACCATGCTGTACTCATTAGTTAAACAGGTTATATACCAGAAGAATATGTTGTTTCTGTAAAGAGTCTGCTTTTAAGAAAATGGATCATTTCATTGCAGTAAAGCAGCTGAAAAGCTTATTATGGAGGAAACATTCCTCCTCCGCTTTTCTCATAATCATTTTAATGGCAGTGCTATGCTTCTTAGCGCAGCATGGCTTGCAGAACCTTGATCAAGTTTAGTTTTCTTATTTAGGCTTTCTAGTTAGATAACTTTTACAAGTTCAGTTGAATTCTGTACAGTAATTGTCAGATAAGCTGAGAGTGGAACAATTTTTTTGGATTCATCCTGAAGATCCCTGATGAGGTTGTTGGTCTTGAATTCCTGCATCATTTTATTCTGCGCAATGAGAAGGAAATGAGAGTTGATGGTTAGGACGTTGAAGCTATGCAACAAATCTTGCTATAATATTCTCATTTACTTGTATAAATTTAGAGATAGACCTAATGTAATTGGAAAACTGCAAGATAAGAAAGAGATGTGGAGAATGTGTGTGTGTGTGTGTAGAGAGAGAGAGAGAGAGAGAGAGAGAGTTTGCCATGGATAGTGGCTTGCTCTTTTTTAACTTATGAATCTGTTAATGGATCCTTGAAAGCTCACCTCACTAGAACATTACGCTTAACTGATTTGATAGCCCACATTTACATTACTTGGAACATAGATTAATTAATAAATATTTTAGATCTTAAGGCCATCTTATGAAACTGCACTTCATTGGTTGTTTCAGGAAAGGAATTGCAGAAAGGGAAGGTTTTGCCCATCCAAACTTAAAGGAAAACGTGTTATTGAACTTGGAGCAGGATGTGGAGTAGCTGGATTTGGTGGGTTTCTTTTCTTTTCTTATACCCCTTTTAATTTTCTGCAAGTGAAATGATGCTTCATAGATGTTATTTTACTTGACTTTCCAATTTGATATAGATCTAGTTTTATCTACTACTAAAAGGTTTTGTGCCTCTTAGCCTGAATTAAGCTGATCTTTCCAGGGATGGCACTGCTAGGATGTGATGTAATTGCAACTGACCAAATAGAGGTTTTGCCACTGCTAATAAGAAATGCCGAACGCAATACTTCAAGAATAATGCAGATAGATTCCAGTTCAGGTGTGCTTTGAGACATTTTGAGTATTGTTGTGGTCATACACTTTTTCCTTCTCTTATTTTTTTATTTTTAAAAAGAAATTTTGTACCCTTTTTCATTGTGCTTGCCGAATAGCCAACTGTACTTTAAGATAGTTTTCTATATTCAAGTGAGTTTGATGGGCAAATGCTCTGAACAGTATAGAGTTTCTTTAACTATCAGATTGAGGATTGTACTTGGACTTAAATTTAAGTATTTAATATAATGTACCTAAGATGGATTTATGATCCTTGTAGATTCATTTGGATCGATCCAGGTTGAAGAATTGAACTGGGGGAATGAGGATCATATAAGGGCTGTTGATCCACCATTTGACTGCATCATTGGCACTGATGTTGTAAGTTTGTTTGATGATTAGGTTTTGCTGTAAGTTTGTTTGATGATTATATTTTTCTGAACTCGTAATTGGAAACAATATAATGATAATTGTCTTTACTTTCATAGTTTTATCTCGGCTTGGTACCTGCACTTAATTCTCTAATTCTCAAGACCATAACATTTGGCTTCCTCATTTATGGCCTTTAGGTGTCGTTTGGTTAACGGGTCCGGAATGAGAATGCAAGAATCGGAATGAAAATTAGGAAATCAGAATAATATTTGTATTGCCATGCTATGTTTGGAATACCGATAAGGAATCGGAATGAAATTTAAATTATTTAACATCTGGTTTTTTATATGAATAAAAATAATGATTAAAAAAATAATTTCATCAAACTATAATGGTTGTAAAAATAATAGTGGTGGTGGCGGCGGTGATAGTAGTGGTGGTGGTGGTAGAAGTAGTTAATACATAATAAATAAATAAAATATATTATTATTTTGAAAAAAAAATTCATTCCCATTCTATGTTTTTATTCCCACCTTTTAAATGGGAATAAAGTTATATGTAATTTTTATTTTCATTCCCACTCTTCATTTTCATCCTCTCTTCATTCCTTTCAACTAAACGAGTTATAAGGTGGGAATAAAACTTTTATTCCCATTCTCACTACTTCATTCCCGGTAACCAAACAGCTCTTTAGAGTCCGACCCTCGGGATCAAAGTCTTAGGGATATTGGAATATTCATTTTGAGTTCATGTTTGTGCTATTTTGATTTCAATTTTATTTGTTTCCAAATGCTTCAAGTCATTTACTTAAATAGTTTTAGTCTCATGATTTATCATGGATTCCTCGAAGGTTTGTCATTGAATCCTCTAACTTTGCTTTGATATGTTGTTGAACAAGTTGTAACTAGTTGAATTATTAGTAAATTGCAAAGACCAATCTGTGCTTCTCCTACTCAATGCTCCAAACACTAAACAGAAGTTTTTTATACTTGATTGAAGAATTTGTAACAAAACTTATTTTGATCAGAGTCACAAGGAAACCATTTACCAACTAATATATTTCCCAAATCCAGTACCACGTCATTACTGTGCACAATGAATTATTGAAGCAACATCATGAATACAATAAAATGTATATAAGCCTTAAGTAACAGGATACCTTCCCAGTTGCTACCCAAAAAATTCAATAAATTAATAAATCCAGTTTCTTAGTCATCTTTATGCTAAGATGTTGAATTTTTGTGTTCTTTGCAGGTTTATGCAGAGCATCTCTTGGAACCACTGCTGCAGACAATACTTGCTTTATCAGGACCGAAAACAACTATTTTGGTGTGTTGCTTTAAAGCTTGAAAGTTTTGTTTTGTTTTTTTTTTCCTTTTGAAACATGACTAGGATGCACTTATTTAGTACTAAACTTCCATGTAGTTGGGGTATGAGATCCGTTCTACCAACGTCCATGAGCGAATGCTTGACATGTGGAAAAGAAACTTTGAGGTGAAAACTGTTCCGAAATCTAAGGTATGTTCTTGATGCTATAAATACTTATGGCTTAATGAGATATTAATGTGCTGTACATGTCATTTCCATATAAAATTCCTGGACCAAGTATGAATGGTTACAATGACCATCTGGTAAAATTAGGACTTTTATGTGATTCTTTAACTATCATTTCTCACCTGCTGTTTTTGACGAGTATAAAATCTTTCAGAAACACCATTTTATAATATCCTACTCTCAACTGATGTTGACAATCTAGGACGCAGGTAGTGATTGGACCTGCGTCATAAATACATGTTTCGGGATTTAACTGGATTGTTGGTCAATGCGTTGTCTGGTGATTGGACCTGCATAATTAATGCTTTCGCATGTTGAAGTCACTTTAACCACTTTATCTGATGCAGATGGACAGTAATTACCAACATCCAAGTATTCAACTTTATATCATGGGGTTGAAGCCTCCAGCTGGGTGCATAGGAAACATGATTTCAGGAATTGAGCAACAAACTGATGAGGTTGAAACAGTAGATAAGGTACTGGAAGAGGATGAGAATGGCTGCAGTAATAATACCAAGAGTAGGTTGAAAGATTGCTGTAGTGAAAAGGTTCATGAAGATTGTGAGCTAGCAATGAAATTTCCAAATGCAAAACTTACTGACTGGGAAGCAAGAAGATTAGGCTCAATGGCTGCTCGGCTTCTTCAAGATGTCAAAATAACATAAAAGCATTCAGCTTGGAATTTGTGACCATCTTCTGTTCTCACAGTGCTTGTTTGCAATGGATCTGCCTCATATCTCTCATTAGATGTGTGTCTCATTATTGTTTAATTGCACGGATTGGCTGTGGGATGCTTTGGGAGCAAGGTGCGGCAGATGATATGGCATAGCATTGCCAACATCAATAGAAATGTTGACCTCTTGGAACTGGTGGATTTTTTGCCGTAAATTTCTTTTTGATCACAGCACATGGTGCCATCTGGGGTATTGGGAATTAAGATCTGGAAAATGGGATTTAAGAGGGCAGTTTCAGTATGCTGAAGCTGCAATCATTGCATGATGTGTTGAATGAGTTGGGATGAGTAGTGCTTCATCCTGAGCAGTGACATTTTCTGCGAATAATGTAAGGCACTTTTCAATTTTTTTTTTTTGTTTTGAAGAACCCGTAATAGTCTAAGCATATGAACAGAATTTGAGAAACATATAATTGTTGTAGATTATCAATGTTTTTTAGGACACAAATCCATCAACCAAATGGTTTAACCTTGCCTCAAAATTGCATCAAATGAATTTGCGGTTGCTGAAACCTCATACTATTTTCCTTGGTTGTGCGGTGTGAAATTGTTGTCTGTCTGTACACATTGTGATGAACCATTTGATCACTTTCGATCTGTGTGTTCGCCTAAGCAAGTTTTACCACTGTTGGTTGATGAAAGGCATTTGAATGACTGACATAAGCCAATTCTAGCTGTCAAATTCAGCTAAAATTGAGCTGTGCATCAATGAGCCAAACAGACTAAAGTGTAAAAAATATTATAGGAATGCTGTCCAAATGTGCCTATATCTTTTTATTTTCTTATTTTGACATAAATGAAAATCGAACTGCATAACATACACTGAACCTTTCCGTGCCTGAATTCTGAAGATGGAGTCGCAACATGCACATGAAAGCGAATAAGAATTGGATAAATATATTATTGGAAAATGAAAATATGCCAGCACAGTGCGTTAGCCATTTACATTAAATAGTCGCTGTTCTAGAATGGTTGTGTATAGCTCGCCGAAGTACTTGACTGATCCATGTATATTCCTACTGTGGAAGTTTGTTGGTGCTCGCTTATGATATGCAGAATCCACAATGGAAAACTGATCCATGTATATTCCTAAGTATGAAATGAGCGGGTCTGCCCGGCTCGTGTCTATAACGAATTTCAGGTGCTGAGTTTCTACGGTAGGAAATTGCAACAGCCTTTGATATCCAACTGTTGTGCCATTAGTCACATTCCTCCACTTCCCATCTTCATTCAGGATCTCAAGATGGAACCTGCTAATTCGCTGTCCCATGTGAATTGGCTCTTGGACTTGCAGAACATTGAAAGATACCGACTCTTGCAGGTTTAAGAGTAACACCCAATCAGATTGATTCTCCTCTGGGGCCCAATAGGTGTAAATGCCTTCTTTGAAGACGTTAGAGGGATCAAAGCGAGAATCACCAATGCCGCCTCGTGTGCTGCTGGGATTAAGAATGGCTTTCCTAGCTAGATTATAAGAAAATATGGACCTTCGGAGTTCAAAGAATTCTTGAAGCACTTGAACGTCTTCGGCTGATATAAGACCTGAAGAGTTTGGAGGCACATTCAGTAACATGAGACAGTTTCTGCCAACAGATTTGTAGTATATGTCAAGAAGCTCGATTGCAGACTTCGGAACTTCCGATGCATGCCAAAACCAACCAGGTCGAATGGATACATCACACTCAGCAGGCACCCAGTCAAGACCTGATGGGTCTCCTCCCTGCGAGTATCTGTTGGATAGGCAATAACAAGTGAAATAAAAAAGTCTGATATTTGATTTAGCATGCAAGAAAAACTGGAGGTGTTGAAAGTACAGGGAAAAAAATCATCGCTGCATTCCCATTAAGAGAAAGCCTTGCAGTTCCTATTGAATAGAAAAAACCAAGAGTCTTTTGGTTAACAGATAGGCGAGCTCAGACACAGATAAGCTAAGTACACAAGGCCTACATTCTTCTCAACATCTTGAAAATATGATCTCTCTCATTTGTTTGTGTTCAGTCGAATCATCCTCATAAAGGTGAAATGGGGGCTATGTGATTTGCTTAACAGCTGAGCTGCAGTGCCACCAAGTCTCTAACTAAACAAGTAATACTTAGGCAGGCATGGAATCCATAGCATTGTAAAGAATCATTAACTCTTAACGACTATAGACCTTGCAATGAATCACCAACCAGATGACAAGAGAAAAAATCATGGAAGAGAAGGTTAGAAAGTCAACTCACTCAGGATCAGTGCCTCCAATCTTGGCAGAACTCCGATTAAAAAGAGACCAGCAAGTAGACCCAGCGACGCCAGCCTCATCCCCAATCCACCTTGTATCGGGACCAGCATCAGAAAAGATGGTAGCCCCAGGCTGCAGTTGATGGATGAGACTAAACCAACTATCAAAAAAATAATCCATGTCCTTCTCTCTCTCTCCTTTTGCACCATCCAACCATACCTCCTTTATCTCTCCATACCTGCAGAAATAAAACACGACACAAATAGAACTTAATTACCACAAAACATAAATTTGAATAATTATTCGAAGACACATGCAATTTCACCAGGGGCTATCCCAGGGGATGAAGCACAAGAAAGAAAATCACCTTGTCAGCAACTCAGTCATTTGACCTAAATAGAACTCATTGTACTCCAATGTCTTGCCATAACACACCTCGTGCCTATCCCATGGCGAAAGATAAAGACCCAAATCAACACCAGCGGCTTTAGCAGCCAAAGCTAGCTCCTTCACAACATCCCCACTTCCATTTCTCCAGGAAGTTGACTTGACAGAGTAATCTGTGTACTCAGTAGGCCATAAACAGAACCCGTCATGATGTTTTGCGGTAAGGATCACACGCTTAAATCCAGAGTCTTTAGCAACCTGGACCCACTGGGTGGTGTTCAGACGGGTCGGGTTGAACACAGAGGGGTCTACCCGGCCGGTACCCCACTCAGAGTCTGTGAAGGTGTTGGTTCCAAAGTGAAAGAAAAGTGCCATTGATGAGAGTTGCCATTGGAGTTGAGAAGCTGTTGGTATGGGTAAAATGGGAAGTGGGGGTGCCTTTACGAGGGCACAATGGAAAATGGGAAACATCAAAGAGAGTGAAAGACATAAGATGATAAAATTCGGTGTTCTGGGTTCCGGAGTTTGGGTGATCTCCCTCATAATGGAGGAGAAAAACAGAGTCTTTGGAGGTCAAAAGTCAAATTTGATTTTTTCAAGTGAAGACGAGAAATTTTATAATACACTCAGAGCAGACATCTAGAGTAGATGCAAAGTGTTCTTTTAGGATTAGACCAGTGAGCAAGCAAAGTTGAAGTTGTTATGTCTTTATCGAACTATGCTTTTGCCAAACGCCCCACCATCCCCGCCCCAACACACACAGAGCCAAAGGTTGAGAGAAATGGTACAGGCTTTGACCCCAAAAAAATTCATGTTATGTCTTCAACGGGATGCAGTCAATATTACAGGTTGTAGTCAAGCTAGAGTAAATTATAAATTATTCTCTTATTTTGGAGAAACAAATTAATTGAGATTTTTATTTTAAAAATTAACCATTTAATTTTATTAATGTTATTTATATTTAATTTAATATTATTTTAAAAAAATATTTTTTTATGAATCTTTTCATGATATCTATTTTTTTTCTTCTTCTATTTTTTTTAAAAAATTAAAGAATAAATAAAATCAGAAAATAACATAAAATAAATAAAAATAATAGATAATTAATTTTTAAAACAGAAAAAGTAATTATCATTTTTTCAAAACTAAAAGAATTAATTTATAATTTGCTTATTCAAGCTATATATCTACTCAATTTTTATTCCAAAAAACAAAAATTATTGTTCTAGCTATAAGATAAAATGAGGTCAAAAGTCAAAAAAGTAGTAAGGCAATAGAGTTGAGCATCATAGTTGTCAAATGTGCTCCGTCTATTTATCCAATTAGACTTTTTTTTTTAAAAAAAAAAATGGGATTTAGGGTCAATCTAAAAACTATTGTGTTGATCCAATCACTTAGTCGGATCAGATTCTTAATTGGGTTTGACAAATGTGCCAGAAATATTGGTTTGGTTGTTTCAACTATTCTCATCTTAGATGGACTTAACATTTATGGGTGCAAAATAGAAATAGCGAAGGATATCCATGGATCGGATTTTAGGTATCAATACACTATCTGTCGAGTTTCGAATACTCATTCAAGTATATATTATTCACGTATTTTTTATTAATCAATGTAAAATAAAATGACAATATATATAATTTGAGGTATATTTTGTATAAAATATTTTTTAGTTCTTATATTTTAAATATTCTTGTAATTTAATTCTTTTCGTTCTTTTTTAATTAATTTTGATTTTTTATTTTAAGAAATAGAAAAAAATGGAATGATTGATGAGAAAAGTTAAATTATGTTTAATACTAGTAAATGAACTAAATAATTAATTTTTAAAACAAGAGAGATAATTAATTTGTTTTTTTGAAAATAAAAGGACTCTAGTAATTTACTCTCTATAAACAAGTCTCGGAGTTTCATAAATAAATAAAAAAGCAATAAATAAACCAACTTCTCAATTACCAAACAAATACTAAAAACTCCAAATATTAGAATTTAGATTTTCAACAAAGATGGTTTAATTTTTTTGTTTTTAACTCACACACTCAAGACTCTTAACGGAACTAATCTATTATGATTTGAATCCATGACCTCTTGTTGTAAGAAATCATTACCATTAAGCTACAAGCCCTTTGGCAAAGATGGTTCGGATGAGATGCAAACTAATAAAGCTTCAATTTGGGTTAACAACGAAATGAGGGTTTAGCTTACAATATTGGCATTTGTGTATTTCTAAAAGCTAAGCTATAGAGGATCTTTATAGAAGAAAGGTTATTGACAAATGGCATCAAAAGTAGATTCAAAACTTACAATAAATTGGATTTCTAAAAGCGATAATGCAAGTAATCCAATTTTTCAATTAGTTCAATCTATTGGACTTGTGTTAAAGCATTATTGACAAGTTTAGATTCACCGTGTTTATGAAAAAGAAAACTATTTTGCATTTTGGTTAATAAATTGTGATCATTTCTTGGAGATTGGAGTTGTTTATTTTTTTTTTAAATGCGCCAATAGGATGCATTGGTCTTCTTTTGAATGATATTTTGTGAAGTTATTATGTTAAGGGTACTAACTTTATAATATATATTTTATTTCAAATCCTTAAAAAAAAAAAAAAAAGGTTCACATTTAAGGAAGTGGTGTGTTGGCATGTGGCGACAGGATCCCACATGCCCACACCTTAAATAGGAAATTTACGGATCACCTAAATCCATTAGGTGATGTTGAGATGGATTGGGTTAAGCACGGATAAATCAACTCGGTCGATACCCCACTCAAAATCAGCGAAGGTGTTGGTTTCAAAGTGAAAGAAGAGTATCATTGATGAGGGTTGCCATTGGAATTGAGAAGCTCTTGGGATTGATAAAATGGGAAATGGATTGCCTTTTAGAGGGCACAATAGAAAATAAAAAACATCAAAGAGAGTAAGAGACATAAAAGGGTTAGGTTTAGTGTTTTGGATTTCGAAGTTTGGGTTCTCTCCGATAATTTTTAAAGATCAAAAGTCAGTTTGATGTTTTTTAAACGAAGGTAGTTTATAGAATTGTAAAATGTTTTCTAGAACAATGAGCAAGCAAAACGAAGTTTTCATGTCATTGCAAAATTAGGCCTTATTTCCCTAAAACTTGGTTGAAAATTAAAATAGTACTTGGATAAGAAAACTCGATTAAACTTTAGTTTTTAGTTTCTTAATCAAGGTAATATATCTATAATTCATAAGACTTGTTCACAAAGGCAACCTCCATTTTAATCCCAATATAAATGAGTTGAAAATAATGTATGTGTGTGTGTGTGTGTGTGTTTGTGTTGTGTGTTGTTGTTGTTTTTTTTTTTTTTTAATTTTTAACTTGTTCGAGCTTTGATATTTGACAAGGTCAATAACTAAGTCGAAAAAATTGATCGGATTTTGATTTAATGATTGAGTTTTTAAGTCAACCTATATAGCGAGGTTTATAAATGAAAAGATAAAATATATTTTTGTAACCCGAAGGCTTTTGATATCATCTTAAAACTATTGGATTTTGATTTAGTGAATGAGATTTTTAGTCAATCTATAAGGTAGGTTTATAAATGAAAGGATAAATACATTTTTGTAACCCGAATGCTTTTGATATCATCTTCAAACTATCGGATTTTGATTTAGCGATCGAGTTTTTAAGTCAACCTATAAAAGAAGTTTATAAATGAAAGGATAAAATATATTTTTGTAATTGGAATGCTTTATATATATATATATATATATATATTACAAAAAAATGAAACAAAATCATTTATGTCTCTACCTCGACATTTAGAAGATTTCCAAAAAATTATGAAAAATTATTTTTACATTATTACAAGAGTTAATAAGTATTTAAAAAATCTAATATTAAAAAAAGCTAGAGAACCTAAAAAAGATACTAGATTCAAATATTGCAAGTAGTTGGTTATGTCTTTGGAAAGATATCGACCGCTCAAAGGCACCCATTTCGGAAAAAGTATTATGTCCGGTTTAATCCTAAAAATGTATCTCTTAAGAATTTATTTTGTCAAATTATTTTCTAAATTTATTTCCAAGTCTCGTCTATTATTTAAATCAAATTATCTTTGTTTTTATTATGGCATGGTATTAAATTAGTGTTGGATCCCTATATTCTAGGGGATCTCCGACCTCTCAAGTTCGATGCACAATGACACATCTCGATGCACTTCAATCTAATCACGTAGTTCATTTAAATGTGCTAAAAAAATAAATTAAAAATTAATTAGAACAACTATCACAAACAGACCCAAAAATGATTGAATTATCTTATGTAGCTTTGGAAATACCAATTTTATCCTTGGAGTGAAAAATGATCGGATTTGCCTTTTACGATGGAAATGACCAAACTACCCTTTGTTGTCAAGAATTACATATTTATCTTTGGTATGAAAAATGATAGAATTATCCCTCTTGGCCTTTTTTTCCTTCTCTCACGTATAAAGCTAGTTATCATGACGTGTAGAAAGAACTGGACCACCTAAGTCTTGACCTCCTTCCTTTTTTTCTCACTTTTTTTTAGGAAATTAGAGTTGATTTGTTATGGTGGTAGCAATGAAGATTTCAAGTTCGGATAAAGATTATATTTGTGGTTGATTTTGTTTTAGTGGCTCTAACATGTGAAGCTTCAGCTAGATGAGGGTTGTATCTATTGTTGTTGGAGAGGAGGAGATCGAAAAGGAGCTATGGTTATTGATCCAGGTGAGGGTTACATTTGTTAAGGTCTAACAAGAATGGTAGAGAAGCTTCAAGGTTGGAAGGGTTATGCCACCGATCGTGAGTTTTTTTTCGTTGCTCGGCTACTATAGGCTACTATAGAGGATTAGACAGTGGTTAGTAGGGTTGTGTTAGGTGGAGATCAGTGCTAATAGTGGAGATGAAGATGACACTAAAATTAATGGTGTGGGATAGTGGTTATGGGAGAGAGTGACGAGTTATGGTGGTTAAAGGGTTTTAAGTCAGCTATAGTGGAGATGGACAATTGGTTTGGGACTAGTAGAAATCGAACTGGTGAAGGTGGTTCGATGATGGGTGGAGATTAGAGAAAGAGTATGTGGTGGAGTAACAACTATCAATGGTGGATTACAACATCAAAAGTGGCTACTAGGTTTTTTCTAAGAGAAAAAAAAAAGAAAACTCAATTTTTATAAAGGTTTTTAGGGTTGGAGTGAAAATCAAATTTAGTCATTTCTTTGTCCGTTTCTTTCAGTTTCATTGTACATTTCCTCTTTTCTTTTCTTCAATTGTGTCCTTAACTGAAATTATTTATTCCATATTCTCTTGATTTCTTTCAATTATATCCTCATCAATCTTAATTAAGGTCCTTAATTTCTTTATTCCCTTCCAATTATATTTCTAATTAGATGTTATTTGATCCTCACACATTTTATGTTCTTTAGTTTGAGCTTGATTTTGTTTCTCTTTTTTTTTTCTTTTTCAATTTTTATAAAGGTTTTTAGGGTTGGAGTGAAAATCAAATTTAGTCATTTATTTGTCCGTTTCTTTCAGTTTCATTGTACATTTCCTCTTT